CTGGGCAGTCCATGCACCCCCGAGCGCGAGTAGCTTGGCGCCGCGGGCGCGCGGCTCCCTGGGGTCCCCGCTCGGCGGCAGCCGCAGGACACGCAGCCCCTGTGTGGGTTGGGACTCCACCCTGCCCACCCCAGCCGGTGGTTCTGACCCTGGCTTGACCTCAAGCCCGCAGCCCGAGGGCCCTCCCTGACCATGCCTCCCGCCCTGGAACCTTTGCCCTGCTGTCCCCGTGGCTAGAGCGCCCTCGCCTACTCTCCACTCACCCAGCTGTCCTCCATGCCCAGCTGCTGTACGCCTCTACTTGGGAGCCCACCTTGACCGTCACTGCTAGGGCCCGAGCCAACCCAGGTCTTCACGACCTTGCTGTGGACCTGATCCTGTCCTCTGCGTTCTGTACTGCACAGACTCATCTAACACCTCTGGTTGCTTGCCGACCTCAGCCCAAGGTCACTGGCCTAAACAATTCAGGACTCAAGTGAGCAGCCGTCTGCTAGCCCCAGTGGCTGAACCCAAGACATTCACTGCTTCCCACAGCCATCCCAGAGAGGGTTGAGGGTTGGAGGAGCCAGGAGGCCAAGGTGCTGGTCTTTCTGGCGTTGCAGGTGCTCCCTGTCATCTCTGGGGGCCAGAATGGGATCTGACCTTTGCAGCCACGTCCCTGGGCCCATCTGGGGTCACCTTCAGGTGTGACCTCATCCAAGCATTGCCTCAGGGGCTCTAGTCAGCCTGCTGACTTCCTCAGCACACCCAGCCTCCACCAGGTCACAGCCCTTCCTGCCACCATCCCTGTCCCAGGGCAGAGAGCAAACCCTCCATTGTACAGCTCTAAGGTTCTTGTCTTCCTGGCGCTCTGTCCACCACTCTCCTGTGTATGGGCCCATGAGCCACGGCTAGGGCTGAGGGTTAACCATGGGCCCCAGGCCAGGACAGGCGCCTCAGGGTCAGATCCAAGGTAGGATGCCGGCCCCTTTGGTGGAATCCAGGGACCACTGCTCTCTTGTGGGGTCTTCCGGAAGACCAGTGGATGGTCCTCAGAGCCTTCCTCCTTGGATTCCTGGACCTACAGCCCGTCTAGGGGCTAGGGAGGGTGGGAGTGCTGGAGAGTGGTCTGGGTCTGGGTGTCAATATGTGGTTCTTAGGGCAGATCCAACTCAGCCGAGAGGGGCTGAGGTCCCTGGTGGCCTCCCCAGTGGACTCCCAGCCCCCCAGGCCTCTGTGTGGCCCTCCAGGCCAGTCCTCCCCAGGTGTCCTGGCCTGTGTGCCCACCTTCCCTGGCCTTAGGAGTCAGCCTTGGGAGGCCCGCATCCT